TAGTAAGTGTCTGCCCAGGCAGAGATTAACTTTCCCCACCTCTCTTTCCTCATATTCCTGTAAGGAAATTACATTCTCAGCGATAGAAAGTAAACTGTTATCAAGTATGCCACTTCTGGTCAAGGAGGGTTAAGAATACCGTGTGTGGCACAACGGGTTAATGCTCAGCGTTGTGAAGATAGCCACAGATGCTTCAGCATGAGTTCAATACCCCATCAGGGAGGATCATGGCGCAGCAAACCTCTCCTGTCGCTCATGCTGCTCTCCTCAGCAGTGTATTTCAGTGGATCCACCTGTTCTGTTCCCCACTCTGTCTCTGGTGAATCCTCTCATTCCCCACACCTCTGGCCTATACCCCAGTTCCATATGCATAAAAAAAATAAACCTTTTAGAAAAACAAAACACAAGAACACGGTGTGTCAACTCTAATTTTTTGTTTTGTTTTGTTAACTACTAACTGAGCACAGAAAAGTCCCAGGTTCCAGAGGCTGGTGGGATTGCACAAACAATCCTTTAAATCCCTTTCTCCTTCAATGGCTAAGTGGAGAAAAGCTGCTCTCTTATCAGAAATACCTATATTGGACTATTATGTGATAGAAAAAGAGCCTTTATTGTGTTAAGTCCCTTACATTTTAGGCCATGTTTGTAACAGCATTCACGTTATTATGACTAATGTAGACTGTTTATTACAATTTACAGGACACAGGAAACAATAGACAAAGCCCAGGGTTGGCTCAAGGGAGAAAATCTACAAGAAATCCCCACTCCACAAATCTGCAACTCCAAAATGTTTTTCCTTCAGGAGCATGGTGAGCTAGTAATGAAATGCCCTCAATAAAGAAATGTGTTTATCTTGACATATGATGTCAAAAGGGGCTGAATGAGAGAGGCATTTCCCCTTAGAATTAACCACCACATGTATACACACCCGTAGGTTTCCAGTCTATATTCACACTAGGTGTTATGAAAAATCTCAAGGTAAGCATTTATTTTAAGTGACTTCCAGTTGACAGAGTCCCAAAAGTAAATGCAAATTTTCTCTGGAGAAAACTCTCCTCATTCCAAGAAAAGCGAACCCACAGTCAAAAATCATAAAACTCACAAAAAAGTAAAAATATCATGCACAAGCGTCAACAAAAATAATGTATAACAAAATAAAATCCATAGCATTGGAAAAACCAATTCAGAACAAAAGCGATTATATTTAATATTGTTGGGAAATTATCCTCCATGAGTTATTTTTATTCCTGCATGTCTTGCTGTGTATGCCAAAAATCAAGGCCCTGGCTAATTTTTACCAGACCATTTTCAGACTGGTGTTTGTAGCAAGTAACCTTAAGGGATAAGATAGTGTCTTACACTAGGGCAAAGTGCAGGCTCGCTTACTTACTGTGAACTGCACCCTTTCCCAAAGTTAGTGTGTCCTTCCTGTGTTAACAGTTATCTAGGCTCTACAGGAGCTGGGTTGTAGGGAATCAGAGCCAACATGCTAACACTCAACTTACTGCTTTTTCTGGGAGTAATGAAAGTTTTTGTTTCCAAGACAAAAGTCTCATGTATTCTTTCAGCATTTACACAACTGTGTCAAGGTAATTTGCAAGTAGTGTAGGAATCTCAGACTCTTCACAGTTCTTAACAAATATGTCTTTAAAGATGAAAATAGGAGTAAGAAATATGTGATTAATAAAATTATTAAAGGTTGTAAAAAAGCAAGTCAGAAGTTATCATTAAAAAATAGAATACTTGAAATGTAACTCAACTGATAAGTTAAAGAGTAAATTAGCTACAGCTGAAAAGAGAGAATTAGAAGACAGGTCTAAAATCATCAAAATACAACACAAAGAGGATACAACACAACACAGAGACAGAATTAAGGGAAATGAGGAAAAGAGTTAGGAAACAAACATAAATTTTATTGGAATTACAGAAGGAAAATGAAACAAAAGCAATAATAAAAAAGGAAAATTATGTAGATGTTTCCAGGCCAATTAAAGACACCAATCTGAATATTTAGGAAGTACCATGTATTCCAAGAGGCTAAATTTACAAAACTAACTAAATAAATAAAAGCCCATAGCTAAACACAGAAGAGAGTAACTGCAAGACAATAAAGTGCAGAGATCTAAGAGAAAAGACATTATATTCAAAGGGGGAAAAATAATTATACTTTCTAAGTCCCAGTGGAAGAAACAATGGAGGTAAAAACAATGGAAAACAGGAGACAATGGCATCTTCAATGTACTGAGAGTACATTGTATTGAGAGTACTCAGTACATCTTCAATGTACTGAGAGACAATAAGCCAGGATTCTATATGCATGTAAACAATCGTTCTAAATATGGACTCAAAATAAAGGCACCTTCAGGCCAAAAAAAAAAAGGAAAGGGAAAAAAAGATTATTTTTTTATGGTTTTTATATTAGATCTTCAGATTGTAAAAGGAAAATAAAATGACATAAAAAGGAGCTAAGGGCCTCCCTGGTGTGGAAGAGGTTATGTCTCAGCACTACAAAGCTTTGGGTAGCCACTGCAGTACAAGTCCAATCCCCAGCCAGGATGCTAACTCACATGGCACAGCAGACCTCTCCTGTCTCGCCCGCTGCTCCCCTCAGCAATGTATTTCAGTGGATCTGCCTGTTCTGCTCCCCAGTCAGTCTCTGGTGAATCTTCTCACCCTTCCCACATCCAGCCTACACCCCACCTCTTGTATGCATAAATAAATAAATCTTTTTAAAAAAAGGATTTGAGATGTAAAAAAAATTGATATATCAAGAATGTAAATCTATTTTTTTATAACAGTTTATTTTTACATCATTTTGTACATTTTTTTTTTCCATCTCAATTGTAATCCCCACGGGTTTCCCATCACCAGGTCACCCGTGTGCCATCACCATAATCCC